TTGGTGACTAACGAGCGTCGACCGTCTGTTGATTGCAGTCAGTGAAGACGTTGGTGGAAGTGGACTGACGAGTGTTGCAGTTTGTTGAGCTGAAGAACAAGTTCTGTGAACCACACTCAATTCTAAGTCGGCGCTCGTACGGCCAAACTACTGCATACAGACTCCAAGTAAAAACACATCTTTTAAACTTCTAACGAAGCTTTTCCGAGAGAGTTTTGAGTGTTAAGAAACTCTTTAGTGGTGGATTTCCCTCCATACTAAGCAAGTACCAAGAAACGTTCAAATTCAAAATTTATTATATTAAATATAATATAATAAAATTATTATTATCGTTTTGAATATATAAAATATTCAAAACGAAAGCTTGTTTCGGAAAAGTCCACAACCATACAACAATATTGCAGGCTATCCAGACCCCAAGCGATCATTTCCGGCGTGGCCCATGCATCCCCTCTTTTGAAGATTCCTGGTGAGGCGTCGTGATAAATGACATCATTTGGGTTTGCTGATGAACATTCTCCATGAAAACAGCCCCAACTTCCATTGCTGGGTCTTCAATGACAATTGGTAAAAAGCTGAACTACGTCGCTAGAGAGAATATGTTGCCCGTAATTTCGTTAAAGGCAAGAATCAGGATTAAATTGATGGGGTGATTCCACTCAAATGTGAAAGTAGGGATGGGAGGTGGACCGCCAGTGGAGAAAAAGGAAAGAAAATCCTGAAATACACAGGAAATACGAGCATTTTGCTCTATGCTGTGGAGAAGTTCAAAAGACAGGCAGGGAGATGAGAGATAATGTGAGCGCGGAGAGCGGTAGAGAAGTCCGAGAAGAGCATAGCAGATCAACGCAGCGACGCAGACAAGATATCGAACGGTGGGCGGACCATGTTAAGTTTGGTGGAGTCTGTTAGAAGTCCATGGCGCCTAGGGTCCTAGTGACGCGTTTCGATGTATTAAAGGTGATGCATAATTATTGCGGCTTTTTTTCGCGCCTTTTTTGCTCGAAAATATTGTCCTATTGTTTATTTAAGGTTTGAGGTTTGTCCTTTGAACCGCCAAATGCCGCTTCTCCCTAGGGAGAACAAGCGAAAACCCCCAAACGAGAGAAATGTTCTTGTTAGTTTCTTGGAATAATTCTAGCTCGAAAAACCAATACGATAAACTTCACCGAAATTTAACCCTATTTTCGGTGTCTGGGAACAACCATTTATCAAAACCACCACTTTTGCCTTGTTGGGTACTGTAGTTTATGGTATGAAGTAGTTGACGGCAAACGAATGGATCTGTGACTCAGGAAATTGTTGACATCCAATGTGGATTTCGCACAAAATGGCCAAATATTTACCCACCTCTTCCAACTTCTTCATGAAAAGCTCTAACTAAAAACAACATCTGTATGTCCCGCAGGAGTTTGTTTATTGGAAATAAGCACGGCCTACATTCATGTAAATGATTAAAAATATGTAGAAATGTAGCATCTTCGTAACTCTAAATTATAATCCACTCTACATCACTACGCGGAAGCGTTGTAGTGGCAAGTGGCGCGCTCACCACGCGAGCGGTCAAATCCTGGGTCGTGAGTCGCCGGGCCAACCAAGCCTTCCATCCCTCCGGGTCGGTTAATTGGTACCAGACTTGTCTGGGAGGATAAAAACACTGACTTGTACATCGGCTGGCCCCCGCAAGTCATTGTATAGGCCACATCGCATTCAAACGCCACTGCGAATGTACAAATGGAAGTAGAATGCGTGCCGCATCCCAAAAAGGGATTGATCAACGGCAAATGCTTTATCCTTTTATCTACATCACTGCAAGAAATCCAAGAAGTCGCCAGTCAAGGAATCAGTTGAAAATAAAAATCCACTGCTCGATCATTATAAAATCTACTTACGACAACTTTATTCATATCTTAATCTCGTTCGCCAAAAGTTCTAGTCTGTTTGATCTCATATCAGCCCACTGACCAACCAGTAGACAGATGTCGGTGCTAGTCGAGCGTTTAGCCACTAGCCGCTCGCTAGTAGCGAATAGCTCGATTCGCAAAGTCTGACGCCGGTCCAGAACACTCATTTCATCGTAACTTCAATGGGTCTGCGGTCGGGAAGGTGAAAGAATGGGTTTGGTAGAATGTTATTGCCCTTAAAAAAGTCAATAAATGGCTTGTGGGATGAACACGAATGGATGCATTGTTTGATTGTCGGATCCTGGCAAGTAGACAGACCCCAGTCTGGTTTGCACCTCCTGCATAACTGTTTTTTCTTGCTGCTTCTTCTAGACGAACGCTCAATGGCTCGTTTAGCAGTCTCGAATACGGCACTCTTTTAGACGTTTACAGAAATGGCCAATTGATGCTTGAAAGAAGTGCTGGAAAGAGTGCAAACAATTCTCCCTTCCATATCGCTCTTTCATTTTGCCGCAGTTCCTGAATGCTCTAGACATTTGGAGAAACGAAACGATGCTTTAAAAAAATGCCGAAAAGAGAAGAAGCAAGTACAAGTGTATAGGGGTGGCCAAAAGGTCATTTTGCTCATGGTGCACATCATCAACCGAAAGTTTAAGGTAAAAATATTCCCTAAATATCCTCCTGCCCTCCCCGTCCATAAGCAGAAGCAGGCCCTACTTCATCTCCCTCATCACCCTCGGAATACGGCGTCACTTCCATGGAAACGATTGAAACGCAAAAGTTGCAGAAGTGTGGGCCCCAGATTTCACGAGAACCTGTTCCAAGCTGGTGAAATCGGAGCAGATGGAAGTTTTCAAAATTAAAGGGCGCGGCCTGGTCACTAAAAATATCCTCGTGTCAGTCGAACGATATGTGGAAGCTTGATCTGCACATTTTCCCGAATTTCAGCATCACCCGTTGATAAGAAAATATTATTACGAATATGTATTACCACAGAAATCGTATTCATTTCAGATCAAGGAACGAATGTGATCTTGGTTGTTCGAGGCTGCCACACCGCTGTCACTACGGTAAATTCTGATAGTTTGCCCACTGGTTTTCTGATGACGCAACTTATTCGTCCAGGTGGTTTCTAATCGAACAAGTTCTCTCGGTGGTGGGTCGTACTGTGAATACGATGCAACTCATCCGATGGCGAACAGCAAAGGGGAGCAAGTCTCAGTTAGAGCTCTGTCTGAATTCTGCAGGTTTGTTTCACAATCTTTTTTTTTTCGAAGAACTGCACCATGACCTCTTGGAATGGGCTTGGCATCACACTCCAATCAGTGAGAGATTTTTCGGCCACTGTAACAAGAGACCACTCTACAGCCCATGTTGGACCTATGGCTAAATTTCAACACAATGACATTATCATCAACACACGGGCTGTTATACCGATATCAAACTCATCAATACACCGCGGTCCGTGTTCAAATCCGACGCGGCGTCAGACAAGGCGAGGTACGTCCCCGAACTTGTTCGCTATTGCGCTCGAGAACATCATGAGGCGAATCTCGTTGCCCGGAGGAGTGAACATCGACGGCGTTCGCTTAACGCATCTCCTCTTCGCTGATGACTGTGTTCTGATAGGCGAGGACCCCGCCGACATTGCGCAATCCCTGAGCCTCATCAGGCAGGAAGCCGGCAAAATCGGACTACAAATAACAAGTTCAGTACCAGCCGATCCTCCTAGAAGGCCAGGAGATCGAGCGAGTCTCCTCTTACGTGTATCTCGGCAAAGCGGTCAACATGAATAACGACCTCACGCTCGAAATTAGCAGACGCCGCAGAGCGGGCTGGACCGCTTTCAATAAACTTCGAGATGTACTAACTTCTAAGCACGTCGACCCCAAAGGTCAAAGCTCACGTCTTCAACTCGCATGTTCTTCCCGCGATGACCTACGGGGCGGAGACGTGGAGCACCACAGTCTCTGAAGAGGAGAAACTCGCAGTCACTCAGCGAGCCATGGAGAGGGCCATGTGCGGGGTAACGCTCCGAGACCGCATACCCAATGACACCATCCGCGCTCGTACGATGGTGAAGGACGTCGTCGATGCCATCTATAATTCCAAGCGGAGGTGGGCCGGTCATGTGGCTAGACTTACCGATGATCGCTGGACGAAGAGAGTGACTGACTGGTACCCAAGGGGAAAAACAAGGCCCAGAGGCAGACCCCCACCCGATGGGCAGACCCTCTCGTGAAGATGTACGGCCAGCTTGTGGCGCAGAAGAGCCCGAAGCAGAGCGGCCTGTGCAAAGATTGTGTTGATCTGCGTGCACTGGCGTGGCCCGGCGAAATAGGGGCGAGATATGAGAGAAAAATAGAAAAATAACATAATTTCCGCGTCTTTCTACATGTAGTGCTGTGAAAATCCTTCAAGAAGTGTTGAACCTTCCTAAAGTCCTTGTGCTGCCGCATCCATGACTAGAATCTTCCGACATGTTCCCTCCAGCATCCACCTGCTCATGTTTTAGCTAATGCAGTCCCCAACCAGAATTAAATGTATAATTAAACAGAGTTCATGCCAGAACTCCTACTTAGTCTTCATCTAGTGCTCTCAGAGTTTTACACATCAGTAGTGGCTCTGTATCTGTAAGTCTATAAGTTCTTCCTTTACAAGTGTCGATATAAAGTAAAATAGAAATAAGAAGTGAAGGCCAAAGTTCGAGCTCAGACCCACCTTAGAAGTCCTTACCATGGCTAAAAGTGCTGGGTACGCAAGTGCAAAGGTAGCGTCGCCTTCCTATTGGGTTGATGCATAATTATTGCGGCTTTTTTTCGACAAACTTTATGCAGCGGAAACGATAAAGAAATTCAGCAATTATGGGAGAGTGGGAGTTTCCATTGCTGGTAGTTCGGTCAAGTTCACGTTGCGAAGAAGTTTATTCGTCATTCTAGGAGATCCATTAAGATCTAACATCGGACCACCAACATTCAGCTTGTCGTCAACTTTGTTCGTTTGCCACTTTTTCAACGACTGGTTAAAGTGGTAGCCTGTAGGAGCTTCGGTTGATGAATATGGCGTTTTGAACCTTTTGAACCATCTTTCAACATGGCTTTTGCTGGTTACTCCCTCGCCGAGAAATTCGTTGAGATCGCGCAATGACTCTGTCGCCTTTCAAGTTTTCTCGAAGTGGTAAGGAATATGTGGCGAATATGAGATGATTTTCGATAAGCATTTCTGTTAATGAAAGAGAGAAGAATATTTTCATGAAAAAAGTTA